CTAAGTATACTTAGTTTTTAATGGTGTTTTAAGAATTGTATGATGTATGTCTTTTCATTGGGCTTTCCATTTTCAAACTAGAAGTTATCAATTGAAATAATGTGATTAAGTGTGATTAACCCTTTCAGATCTTAATTTAAAGGCCAGGTCCAAAAACCGGCATGGAAAATGACATATCATAGTGCAAAGTAGAGCCAGGAAAGCTGGATGGTACATCATGATTGCCTCCATAATTTCCAAGGAGTAAAAACGTGCTGGTGAATGTTTCTATATGACATACAGCTGATGCGCACAACCATATTCATAAGATTTTCTTTTCGGGAGCTATAGCCTGGACAAGTTAAACAATTTTTTAACTTTTAACATTTCCTAGTTTTATTTTTATTTTTGTTGTTTTTTGCAAATAAGTATTTTTCAAATTTTTAGTCCTTCAGCGATAAGTATATTTACAATCATAGGTTTTTGACTTGTTTATTGTATTGAGAAATTTCATGCCAAACGCTGCCATGGCAATGTTGTAATTTCACATGTGAAATAATTAATTTGTAAATTAATGCTGAAATTTCGTGCCAAAATTGTCCATGATATTATTATTATTGTTCCTAGAGGATCACATCAATTTACATTACTAGCACTCAGCTAACACTTGGGCCCTTGAATACAAATATAAACATTGATTTTGTTTTCTTTACAGTAGCAGATCCTTCAAGAAAAAACCCCAGTAACCTTCAAATATGGCACACAGCCTAACAGCAACCCTCAGTGAACAAAACATATGCACTACACAGAAAGATATTTTACTTTCAAGATGATTATCGACTAGTTATGTCAAACCATTATCTGGTGCCGGAGAAGGAAATTGGAAAAACATATCATTATAAATTATTCTAATGACATCATAAAGTTCATGATAAGCATCATGTTGAAGTTATCGACTTAACACCTACCTGAAATCCCAAAGTTCTTCCATAAAAGCACTCTCTATCCAGCTGTTCAACTTCCAACATAACTTTAGAGTCAAAACTCTCCGGAAATAAATTGTCTGGTACGCTATCCTCGATCACGAGTTTCGCAAATTGTAGCAACTGAGTTGTTCGTTGGAAAACATTGGCAAATGCCTCCACTTCTAAGCTATAGTGATGCGATCGAAAATAAAATCTGTCTCGATGAGTCTGGCAATAAGCGGACAGTTCTGTAACGGAACGAATGCATTGTTCAACGAGTCTTAGCAAGCTCCTGTAGCCATTTCCTTTAGCGTCAGTGCTGTAATCGTACAGTGGTGCCGCCTTCGCTAGCAAAATCGCACCTTCTTCCAAAGAATCTATAGTTGATAGCATCAATTTAAAGCCATCATAAAACTTCTTGTAAACTGCTTTGGACGTGTATTCTTCAAAATATCCTGTATTGTCGGCAAGGATTCGTTTCAGGTGACTGAAAAGAAGTGGAAGAGAATCGTAGTCACCTAAGTTGAGGTTGTGGGAAGCTTGCTTCGTGCCCGCCATCTTGAAAACCCGGCTCGGCTATTAATTAACAAAATTCAATAAACACGACGCTTAACACTCTTTCTAAGCCTCCGATTTTCGTCAAAGCCCTCCATGCAGGTGGAATCTGTCCTCTAGCCACCGAAGGTAAGCATATTTCTCATTTTCAATCTCCAGACAGCTGCAATATCTAACCGCAGAGGGTGGCATGTTTTAAGAAAACGCGCCTAAACTATACAATCAAACCAAAACAGATTCATAAATTCATTGTTGGCGGTCTCCCTCGTACGCTGATAAACGATATCTGCAGTTTCGCTGATATAAAACCGCCAAAGGTTTCAGCCGAACACGCAGAAAAGTACAATTTTCAGTTTTCTGCAGCCTCGTTCACATGCACATCATCTGAAGTATGGACTTTGGACTGGACGACTGAATAAGAAAAACAGATCCGCTAGCCCGCGAACGCCGACGTATTTGCGGCTATCGCTTGTCCGAAATCAATCTCTCGCAGACGTTATTTTTGGCGGAGACAAGCGACGGCTTGTCTCTGAAGTCCCGGGGGATACACCCTTATATGGGCTATATAGGTATTTGCGGCCCCAAAGGTTAGGGTTTTTTCAGCCGTTTTGGTCACAAATACAGGAAAACTCGGATTAATATCAATCCGTGGATGAAATAATAATAGATTATAATAGGGTTATTATAATCCGGTGATAGATTATTATAATCCAGTAATAGATTATTATAATTCAGTAATAGATTAAGGCACGGCAAAAAATTGGAAGGATTAGATTATTATTAATAATATCAATCATCAGTCATTAATAATAATATCAAACCCATCAACAACAAAAATTGCCAGTAGTAGATAAAGTTTCGTCAGGGACTGATTTTAAGTACAGACTGAAATAAACTGCAATGTTTCGCATCAAACTCCCGTCGCGCTCTTCAGTGGCCGTAGAACTTGTAAAAACAATAGAAAAACGTTTTTTGTAATTAACCATTTTCCCTTTTCGCATTTTGAAGAAAGCGAGAACATTTATATAGTGACCTAGCAAGCGTGCTACACTATTAACTCGACAATTTTTCCAAGCCAAGCTTACCTTGACAGTGGAGGACAACTGTCCGATGAAGGAACAAAATTTTCTTTTCTCTTTGTTATGCCACGTTGCCGTGGTAATAAAAGCTTTACTTACGTCCCCCGCGCGCTAAAGCTTCGAAACTCACTTCCACACTGTACTTTCAGATTAAAATATTTCCAAGAACGGTAGATTTGGACCAGTTCCTTTACTCAATCGGCTGGCAGCCATATATCGTTTTCAAATGATTGCCGTTATTAATTACTAATTAAGTAAAAACATGCAACCGGTGCCAAGCGATGGAAATACATACGCCTGTGGTATCAAGCGCGCGGAAAATTGCAGCGAGCGGCTCGCGGGAATATCACGGCTCTTGACTAACAGCTGCGCAAAAGACCACTATTGAATCCTAGAGAAATATTAACATCACAGATTGCTTATTTCAATATTCTTTATTTAAAATTCAAATCTATTTTAAAATCTAGTCAATTTTATATTTAGTCCATTTTAGCCGTCACGCAACGATTTTCTGAAGAGAAATGTTGTGTGACGATCCAAACAAGGGCTTCGCAGACGGCAGAAAGCTAAAGGGTCCTAAAGTTCATCAGAAGTTATACTTCAGCAAGGAAAACATTTACATTCATGTAGACTTAAGCTTAACTTGTAACAAACTTGTATTGTATTGTATTGCATTCTGTATTGTATTAACTATTTTAAGAGTTAAAAACTTTTAGCTTTTAAAAAAGCTATTTAACAGAATATAACTACAAAAAATACACAAAGAAGCTAAAAGTCGCACCAATCATATAAAGTTCACAGATACGCCTCAAATTTAAAATGAAATAAAAATTTTTTACAACAAATGGTTTAAAAACAACTGAGAACTAAATGTTTGGTCTTAACTATCGCTTGGTTAGCTTTCTACAATTTTTACAACTATGCAGTTTATTAATTAGTTACTACAGGTTACTAGCACCTCCTATTTAACATCCACTTTCTTAGTTAGTTTCATAGTCTGTAGATGGTATGTAATACCTAAATTTAACCACTAAATAGATTTTTGTTTTTGTTGCCTGTACTATAGACTGAGGCAACTACTACTCCGATTATATATCCTCTATGTACAGAATGGACTCAATATCTTCCTTAGCGATCGATTTCCCCGAACACAACATCGAGAGTACCTGAAGAGACAACAAGAAGATTTCTTATGAAACAGAAAACACTTTTAATCTATCCAGTTATAGACGCAAGAGTTGAAGTTTGCGTGAACGAGAAGTTTAATGGCCGAGCCGCAGGCGAATCTTTCCACGCAGGATATCAGGAGAGTACTTAAGCTCCGCCCAAACTACGCCNTTAAAAAAGCTATTTAACAGAATATAACTACAAAAAATACACAAAGAAGCTAAAAGTCGCACCAATCATAAAATCATAAAATGAAATAAAAAATTTTTACAACAAGTGGTTTAAAAACAACTGAGAACTAAATGTTTGGTCTTAACTATCGCTTGGTTAGCTTTCTACAATTATTACAACTATGCAGTTTATTAATTACTTACTACAGGTTACTACCACCTTCTATTTAACATCCACTTTCTTAGTTAGTTTCATAGTCTGTAGATGGTATGTAATACCTAACTTTAACCACTAAATGGATTTTTGTTTTTGTTGCCTGTACTATAGACTGAGGCAACTACTACTC